GGGAGTTTTGCATATAATATCTGATTCATAGAGGTGATATATGACATTCCAAACTAAAAAAAGTTGCAACTTCAAGATACTTCATGTTAGAACATACACTAACCACCCCTGATGAGAAGATGATGAAGCACCTTAGTAACCTCTCCATCTTGGACTAGAGACTGGGAAAAACCTGAATGGTGATGATGGCAACACAAGACCAGGAGATGCACGAGACTGAGGAAATTTGCCCGGACCGAGAATACCAGGTTGATCCATTGATGAGATTGCGAAGTTTCTTGGTGTAACTGGTGAAGGATATTGAACTCCCGGCGATAGCAATGGATAAGGTGACCTAGGGGAGGGAAAACTCCGGTAAGCGGTTGGAGATTGTTGAAAATATTGCGACGTAGGAGACGGTAATATCCCGCGACCTTTGAATCTAGGAGTAGGCAAAATGGGCATACTGGATGCAGAACCATTGAGCCGAGGCGAATGATGGTTAAGGGATTGCGTTGGTGGTGGGCGCGGTTGATACTCATGAGATGGTTGCACTTGGTTTCCATTCTGTCCTGAATCAACTACTGAGCTCTGAAGATAACACATATACAACGAGACAGGAGATTCAACTGTATTCAACCAACATTGATCTCCATGACCCATCATTGGTTGTGAACTGTGCGGCAAATGATGCATATAAGGTTGCGGTGGTGGTCTAGCGGCTAAGTTATGGATCGGTTGAGCCATCACAGGAGCAAGGACACGAGGCCGGGTTATCGGTGTTAGAGCCGCTGGTCTAATCTTCAGCAACCGAGTATTCTGAGGCTTTGGTAGATTCTGAGGAGGAGGCTGCTGAGGGAAACTCTCGCGCAACGGAGAACCTGTTAGCTGTTGAACAACACTTCTAAAATCATTCTTGCTTATGTTATAGACCTGCGATTGCGGTAGAGCCTCGATACCATTCAAGAAACTCGGTTGGTGTAAAGGACTCTTCTTTATGTTCTTCCCAATCTTATTCACACCTAACTGATCATTTTGCATAAGCCTATCCATCTCGCAAGAGACTAAAACCCACAAATAGAGTTGATACTTGATACCAATCCAGAGAAGAGATCTAAAAGCTTCAAGCTTTAAGGAGAAACAGAGTAATATAATCCTGAATCAACCAAAAGCTCACTCTTTTTCACAGCTATGAACCCTACACTATCCAATCTAAAATCGAATTTTTCTCAATTCCAGAGCTATTTTATCCTCCGTTAAACTAAAAACCCACGATTACTTTGCCTTAAACACAGAAATATTCCGACATTTTCACAGAAGAAGGCAACTATCAAGAGCAAGAACGATTAGAGTAAGAAGAAGAGAAAGAAAAGTTCACGCCTTTACACCTGAGGAAACTCCAAAATCTCTCGGATTCAGAGAGGAAGAAGAATTGAAGAAAGCCCTAAAATTTTAGATCAATGAAGGGTTTCCTTTTATATTTTGATGGAAATGAACTATAAAAAATTTGGAAATGGGGTGAGAGAGGCTCGAACTCTCGACCTCAGGATCACTCAGTAGCTATGAGACCTACGCGCTAGCCAACTGCGCCACCACCCCAATTTGTTCAGACATATATTATTAAGTAATGTAATTGCTCCGACACTTCTATCAAATCTGAAAGAAGAAACAAATCTCTCTCTCTCTTTCTTGTTCATAAGCTTGAAGAAAGCAGTCGAATCGAACAAGCAGAGAACCAAATTGCTACTTTTTAGTTTCTATGTTCACTGAAGCAGATAACATTTGAAAAGGTATGACCTTTATGGATTTTTTATTTCGTTTTCAGGATATCTCTCTGAGATTGGTAAATTTGAGTTTAGCCTCTTTAAATTCTACTCAATCTTCGAATTCATTTCTAAAATCAGAATAGGAGGATCTTTGAGTCTCGAAACTTCTCTGTTTTTGTATGCCTGATGTTGATAATCGTTTTGATTTGGAATTAAAAAAGAAATCTCGAAAGCCCTAGATTTCAATTTGATTGCAATCAACGAATCTTCTAAAAACAATAACAAAAAAAAGCTTAGATTTT